TTGAGCCTGTGGCTATGTCTCTGGTGGCTGCGGAGATGGGGGTGGGGGGCTCAGAAAAGCCTTGCAACCTGCAGGAGTGGGTGGCTGGAGGTGTTTCAGGCTGCTTTTTTGGTTAGCCCAAGGTATGGCTGTACTGAGGGTGCTGAGGGGAAGGCTGGGCTGTCTCATAGGGGGACAGCATCCCTCCTGGAGTGTCCCCCTCCTCCCTGAGCCCAGAGGAGCACTGGGGCTGGTGGCATGCCCTGGTAGGCAGGGCTTCCTGTGGCACGTCCGATCCCACAGTGCTGGTGACACCGGCTGTCACAGCTGTGCAGAGTGGTGCAGGGAGATTGTGGTCCCAGTGAGGATCACTGGGCACCAGTGTGGTGGCTCTAGCCATGCCTTTCTCTGGTGTGGCACTGTACTGCTTCATCTCAGCTGAGCCATCCCCCAAGAGCATCAGCAGCCTGTTTGACGTGGTGTCCATCCCTTGGTTGTGATGCTGACTGCACAACACTGAGATGTCCCCCTCTGTCTCCGTCCTCAGGTGCTGAGTCCTTTGGGTTGTTCTCTTGTGTGATCAATGGGGAGGAGCAGGAGCAGACCCACCGCGCTGTCTTTAGGTAAGCTTGCAGGCACGAGTGGTGTCCCCAGCTCCTCGCAGGGCAAAGCTCTCCCACCACAGCGGGGCCAGCCCAGACCCCCGTGTTTACATCTTTTGGGAAGCCCCGGGGACCAAACCACTGCCCATAGGTCATGTCCAGCCCAGGAGTGACATCTGCCCTGAGTGCTGCAGGGGCAAGACCTGCAAGGGCAGCTGGGACCTCTGGGGAGCAGCATCGGTGGTGCCATAGGGATACCCTTGCCTTAGGTGCCAAGGTGCTGCCACCTTTTGACCCTAAATCTGCTCAGATGCCTAATTCAGCATCTCAGGTCCCCATGCCTGGGCCAGCGGCCGGTTTTGCATTGCCCCGTCCCCCAGCAGTGTGCCAGTGAGATGGCCACCAATGCTGCTGGCCAGACAGATGCTAGTGCCTCCCTGTTCAGGTTTGTGCCTCGCCATGCGGATGAGCTGGAGCTGGAGGTGGATGATCCTTTGCTGGTGGAGGTGCAGGCAGAAGATTATTGGTATGAGGCCTACAATATGCGGACGGGCGACCGGGGCATTTTTCCTGCCTACTATGCTATTGAGGTCACCAAGGACCCAGACCATATAACAGGTACCGAGCCTCTGCGCGCAGCCTGCTGACATCCCACATCTTGTGTCTGCCTTCTCTTTGCTGGTGCCGAGCAGGGGGATGGAGGAAGGATGAAGCTGGGCACCCGGCAGGGACCGATGGGCAGCTTCTGGTGTGATGCCAGGAGCTGGTGCCCGTGCTGTGGGAAACCTTCCCTGGGCAGGGAAACATGCAGGGGTGGGAGTGTGGAGCAGGGAGGTGGATCTCAGCCCACGTTTCCTGGTCGCCAGAGACAATCCTTGCTGTGTGCTCTCTTCCAGCTCTGGCCAAGAGCAGTGACTGGGTGGACCAGTTTCAGGTGAAGTTCCTTGGCTCAGTGCAGGTTCCTTATCACAAAGGCAACGATGTGCTGTGTGCGGCCATGCAGAAGGTAGTGTCCCACCCCATCCCTGGGAGCAGGAGCACCTGCTCCTCCTGGTGGCAGGGCAGAGCCTCAATGGGGAAGGGAAAGGGTGCACTGTCATAACTGCTCACGAGTGTCGGGGCTTTGCCTCTCTGTCTTCCCCCCCTAGATTGCCACCACACGCCGCCTCACTGTGCACTTTAACCCACCCTCCAGCTGTGTCCTGGAGATCAGCGTGCGTGGGGTCAAGATTGCCGTGAAAGCCGACGACTCCAAGGAGCATAGCAAGGTAGTGCCCCCTGCCCAACTTGTCTCGTCCCTTCCCCAGCTGCTGGTTCATGCCCCAGGTGCTACAGATCATATCTGCATATGAAAATGGCAGGTCTTCACCCTACATCTGAGGGTATGAGAAACATACCCTCACCATCAGCAGGATTGTAGGCCCACCTCAGGGTCCTTCATGCCCAGTGGCTCCCAGGTTTGGACCAATCTGCCAGCTGATGGCCTTGCAGCTGCCAAGCACGTCGCTGCACTGGGATGCTGTGAGCTGAGCTGCGCCAGTAATCTGTCAGCTGCTCCTAAACCTTTCTGCTACTATTTTGAGCAGTGTCCTCCAGATCTGCCCTGTAATCTCTTTAGCTGGCTATGCCAGGCTGCTGATTAGCATTCTGCATAAGTAGCCTAACAAAGCACGGTGAGATGCTGGGCAGAGGCAAGCAAGGGCTTTGCAGCAAGCTGTTGGGAAACCTCCCCTACAGCTCGGGGGGCGGGAGGAGTTCATGGCTCTGAGTGCTGTGACAGAGAGTGGGGCTGGGGTTTCTACAAGTCTTGCCTGTATCTAGAGGATGCCATCAACTTTAGCTGCACTTTAAACTTATATACGTTCTCATTTCTGGCTGGGACCCTTTGAACACCCAGGCCTGAATGACTTATTTAGTTCTAAGTTATCCATTCACCTTCTATCTGTTGGTATTTCTGAGAGCCTTTTTAGTGAGGGAGAAGGGCTGGGTGTGCTGAGTGAAGAGCAGCGCTGATTCTAGCCTGAGTACAGCCTAATGCAGGGCCTCCAGGGAAACCCTGCAGGAGCTGCTGGAGGTAGAGGCAGCCAGGGTGGGAGCTAGCAGGGCTACCCGGAAGAGCATCCTGTGTGGAGGTGCTCAGGGCCATCCTGCAACCGCTGCTAATAGCGGCCCAGGATCAGGCTCCAGTTCATTTCACTGCTCAGTCCAAGTGCATATTTCCAGGGGCCAGAGACTGCCTGCCCCCCAGGGTGATGAGGAGGAAAGCTTTGACAGTTTGTCTCTCTCTCCCCCAGGTAAACAAGTGTAGCCATTTTTTCCAGCTGAAGAACATTTCTTTTTGTGGGTACCATCCAAAGAACAACAAGTGAGTAGTAATGAGGTGCAGGGTGGCTCTCAATGCCAGCAGGAGGCTTTGCTGCCTTCCTGCTCCCCAGGGCAGCACAACTGGGGCTGGGAAGGGGAGGCTTCTCTGTGCCCCGGTCCTGAGGGCTCCCTTTCCCCTGTGAGCCCAGGGCTGCAGTTTCATGCAAAAGCAGCCTTTGGATGGCAGTTGCATCCCAGCTCTGGGCATGGGCTGTGGCAGCTGTTGGCCACTAGGGTTTGGGGGGGGGGTGCAGGTCCCAAACCTCTGTGCTCAAATGTGAGTACACCATGGGGGTGCTAGGGCGCCTGTGCCTGCTTGTCTGCTGGTGGTCCAGTCACACCCACTCTCTCTGCTCTCAGATATTTTGGGTTCATCACCAAACACCCTGCTGACCACAGATTTGCCTGTCATGTCTTTGTCTCGGAGGAGTCCACAAAGCCGCTGGCGGAGTCTGTAGGGTGAGTCCTGACTGGGCAAGGAAGGCTTGCTCCGGAAGGGCAGGAGGAATGAGGCAGCCAGGAGGAATCCTGCCATCTCCCCATACATGTAGGGCTTGGACCTGGCCCCAGGCTGGCATCTCTTCCCTCAAGCGAGAGGCTTGGGGCGAGAGCCAGGGCTGACAGGCCTACAGGCAGCATATCCCTGACAGCACTGGAACAAGTCCCAGTGCAAGGCTTTGTGGGCAGATGGCTAAAAGTCATGCACTGTGCAGGGGATCAGAGCAAGGATGGAGACCCTGCGGCTCTGACGGCAGTTCTGGGCGAAGGCAGGAGGGGCCAGGGGCTGGAGGGTCAAACTGGCCGCAGGGTAGGGAGTGAGGGTGAGAAGGGAAGTGGGGCTCTGTAAATGCCTCATGGGGATGATGCTGCTCAGCTTTGCACGGTGCTGTGTTGCAGGAGGGCTTTTCAGCAATTCTACAAGGAATATGTGGAGTACACATGCCCTACGGAGGACATCTACTTGGAGTAGGGGCTGGCAGACAGGCACCTCCTGCACAGCCAGGGCTGCAGTCTCGCCCCTTCCCCGTGTCATGCATGGACAAGAGCTGCTTTGAGCCTGAAGGAGGAGTGGGCCCAGGGCAGGGCTCCCTGGCACCGAGCGCCCATGACCCCCCTTCCTCGGGCTGGGGCTGGGGGGGGACGGGAGGGGGGAGGGCTGGACAAATTGTGTTTATTGTACAAAATGCTCTTAGTTTATTCTATTGGAGAAGCACCCACTGGGTGCCCTGCCTGTGAGCGGTGGAGGGGTGGGCAGCAGCGTGCTCAGGTCCTTTCCTGCTGCAGGCTGGGGTGACAGCATCTCCTTCTCGTGACCATGGCCCAGCTTCCCGTCACATCCCTCTGGGGTGACTTTTAATGCAGTGGCAGAGTCGGACTCTTGCGGTATGAAGACACAGCAGCTACAGTAAACAAGACCCACATGCTGGCTCCTGCCTGGGAGATGATGGGCTTGCCCTGGATGGGCATCGCCTCCCTGCCAGGCCCTGGGGACAAGGCTGCTAGGCAGGGATGGCAGAGGGAGGCCTAGTATCTCCTCTGCCAGAGCCAGTGCCAGGCTGAGCTGGGGCAGCTCACCCCTGCCCCTGTCCATCCCCTCTTGTATCTGTGTTCTGGGGAGAGAGAAAAATCCTCCCCCCCCACCTCCCTGCAGTAGCTACACCCTCGGGAGGGCAAGCCTTCTGCTGTCCCTTTCCACCTCTCTCCCCAGCTGCAGGTGGCAGGGCTGGGCCACCCCAGGGCAGTGGGGCTCAGCCCCTGCACAGAGCTGGGTGCCTGCCAGAAGCAGGGCAGGGAAGGGCTAAATGCTGCAGGGAGCTGTGCAAAGCACAGGGGAGGTAGGTCTCCCCTGCCCTGTAGCCAGCGGTCTCTGTGCTTCAGCTGGATCTGCTGTGATGGCAACTATTAAATATGATGGTTCATGGAGCACGGCTGCTGTGCTGTTTGTGACCCTCCGCAGTGGCTTTGGGCCCCAGCTCATTCTTTCCCTTGGGACCCCAAGAGGAGCTGGAGCTTCCTGGGTTTGGTCCAAGAGCCCCAGTTGCAATCCCTGGAGGCTAGAGATCATTGTATGATGATCAGAAGGGACCTCTGGAGGTCATCTGCTCTAGTCCCCACCCTGCTTTGCAGGGCTTACGCTTACCACCACGCGCACCCCCCCCTTCCTACACCCCTACTCCACACCTACGCTGTCCAGCAGCAGAGGGCAGGTGGGCGGGGGGGTCCCCAAGGCTGGGCTGCGGTGGGCACAGGGGCATGCTGGCTCACAGGCGGGTATCATAGTAGTACTCCAGTAGATCAAGCTCGTCGCGCTTGCTTTTGCCAGCTCTGCGCAGGCCTGCTGGCCGCTTCCTGGCCGGCTGGGTCCTGAAGCGAGGCTGCTTGGGTTTGATACCATAATCTGCGAGTAGAGGGGAGAGGTTGGGCTCAAGCCCTGGGCTGGGGACTATCACCCACCTGGAGGGGTGAGCACATGGAAAGGGGTTTCAGCGGGGCGAGGAGACAACTGTACCATCCACCAGGCCAAAGTGCTGCTCTGGAAGCTCCAGGGGAGCAGAGAAGTCCTCAGGGACCAAGTAGCTGACCCTGTGGAGGAAATCCAGGGGCAGAGGTGAGCCAAGACCCTACAGTGCTCACCTATACTAGCACAGTAACTCCCATGCACCACTTGTCTTCACCCAGCCCGGCCAGCTCTCAAGGGCTTGGTGCCACAAGTGCCAGCCCAGGCCTAGAGCCCTGGAGTACCTCTGCAGGTATCAGGGCAGAGAGGAGGAGGAGGGAAGCACCATCACCTTTGGCTCAAGGGCCGTGAGAGGACAGGCTCCAGCAGCACGGCGAGCAGCAGGAGCCAGAACCGCATGGCACAACCTGACACCAGCTCTGCAGCGAGGTCACAGAGGAGCCACCTCGGTAACCCTGGGATACCAGCGGGGTTGGGCATGGGGCAGATCCCCACCCAGGTGCCACTGCCTATCTCCTCCCAGTACATAAGCTTCTGGTCCTGGGCTGCCTGGTCCTGCTAGGCCCTGCCCACTGCTTGCAGCCCTCCTTGCGTTGGTCCTTGTCCCTCCTGTGCAGCCACAACTCCGGTGCCCTTTCCCTGTCCCTCACCACCACCCTTTGCCTCCTTCTCAATCCCTCCAAAGGCAAACCACTTCAGCTCAGTATCTCCCTGTCCCCCAGAGGGAACCCCCCGCAACACCTGGCAGTCTTTAGAATCTTCCTCTGCTAAAAGCCCAAAGAGAGCACAGTCTCTTGCTCACAGCTGTTCCACACCACCAGTGCTGCGTTACAGGGCATTGTTGCCACATAGACTGCCAGAGCCCTGTGGTCCTCACCTGCGGTGGCCCATTAGGGGGTGCATGCAGGCAGCTATTTCAGGACCCCTATTTCAAGGCCCGAGACAAGAAGGCTGTAACCCCTGCAGCCCCAGAGTCCCTCAAGGATGGTTTAGGTCACCCACTTGAGGCCAATGCACGTGGCGGCTTCCAGCTCCCAAGCTCTGCATAAGGCTGGCAGCTGCCTGTGGGACAATCCAGTGCCACCAGCTGGCTACCCCTTTGTCCTGGCCACAGGAGCCTCCACAGCAGCTCACTGAGCAGACTGATGCCTCAACTACACCCCAGTTAAGAGAGCAGATAGATACAAAAAGATGTCCATGGCTGTCCAGGCCTCTCCTGGGCCCTTTACTAAGTGTGGCACAGCAGTATTTGCTGAATTAATCTCTTTGTTTCTCCTCTTCTCCGCCCTTGGCCAAGCCCCTGAGCACTGGCTGGCAGCCATTCTGCAAACATCAGGTGCCAGGCAAGCCGCCTGCAAACTGCAGCTCTCTGTACCTTCAGGGGAACCCCAGGAAAACGGGGACTGAACCAGGCACCTCGAGTCACAAAGGCTACAGTCATGAGCTGAGCAACACGTGGGACCCTGCCTGACACAGGCCAGAGCAAAAGGCTTCTAAGGGACAGCATATCCCAGGGCAGACAACTGCAAGAGCTGCTCTTTCTGATAGAGAGACCTGCTGGCAACCAGATACCAGGGGATGCCACACAAAGACAGCGAGGTCCTTCAGCTCAAGTTCTTTCCATTCAGTCAGTTTATTTGACAGACGAGCCCGCTCCAAGCAGATCGGCCAGGCACGGCTAGCACGAGCAGGCTGCAGGCCAACCTCAACGTCATGAGGTGGGAGACAATGCTCTCCAAAAAACCCACTACTCTGCCTGGCTTTATTACAGTGCAGCTGTACAAAAGGAGAAAAATCAAGTGCTTAAAAAAAGAGGTTGTCCCATCACTATCACTGCAGCCACAGAACAGTCCAGAGAAAGAGGTGGCCGGGGTCTCTCCATGCATGTAGTGTCCATCATTCACAGGTAGATCTGTTAAAAAAAATTAAATACAACCCCCCTCCCCACCCTGCAGAACAGGAGCTTCTCATTGATGGTTTCAGTGAAAATTAGACATTATCAACATCCCTCCCCCAGCCAGCTTGCCCTCCTTAGAAACGTCCAGCCATGATCTTAGCAGAGAATAATCATCTTCTCATCAGCCCCAGTTATAGAAATAGATTTTCTGCCAAGCAGGCAAGTAATCCATCAGTGGCCCTGAAACAAGAGAGCAGAGGGATCACACACATAAAGGCAAGAATTTGAAGCTGTATGTATATAGGTTATATCCCCCCTTCCCGTTATGATATGCACAATCCCAAATCTCCAGTTGCACAACCCAGATGAACCCAAGAATAGAACAGTTACTTTTTCCAAGATGGGAGACAACTTTGGGATGTGGTGCCAGAGATTAGAGCAGGACCAAGCTGGGCACGAAACATGGTCAGCATGGCCATGGTGTGGGACACCACTCCCTCAGAGCCAGCATGTCCAAGCTCCAGGGGGAATGGGGGTCTGCAACGTGCCAGGGGAAAACCCGCATGCAGCGAATCAGGAGGACACTCCCATGGCACAGGGAAGAGGGAAGACAACTTGGCAATAACAAGCAGGTGCAGACACAGAAGCAACTGCTGTAGAGTGAAAAATGCTTATGTAGCACACGGCTTAATGCAGGCTCCAAAGCCTCTCTGAAATCACTAAACTGGAGGAAGCGGCTCCTGAGCCAGCCAGCTTTGTGACCTCCCCAAAGAAAGGACAATCCCATAATGCCAGGCTGATCTAATGCCACATCCCTGCCATGAATCACTCCATGGAAGGCTTCAGATCAGCAGAGAAGAGGGGGAAGTGGAATTCTGGCCCATAACAAAAGGATCCTCTGGTGAAGAACTAGAAGACAGACCTGGTTTGGCCCTTTGATTCACCATCAGTTCCTGCCTGGCACCTGTTTACCCCTCGTGCCTGCATTGCAGGCTGGGGATCAAGGAAAAGAGTTCAGAAACAGGGATGCAAAGAGGGCTCTGGTGCACCAGCTGAGGTGCAGAAAGGGAGCCCAGGAGAACAGGCCTAGGCAGCAGAGACAGCTCTGCAGCCTGGGAGGGCACACGGAGGTTTACCATGGTGGTTGAGCCAGGAAGCAATTCATCCTTTCCTGCTCCAGTTGAAAACAACACAAGCATCAACAGAGGGTGCACTGGTGATAATCATTCTAGGGACTTCCCAATTCCTTCCTTAGGTTGGAAACCAAGTGACAAACATTCTGCCTAACTCCCCTGATTTTTCTACACCCAACAGAAACAGTATAGAGCAGCAGGGCCCACTTACGTGTGACAAAGCCAACTCCAGGCACGTAATCAGCCAACAAGCGCAGAAGGAGAAGGATCCTGCCCCTAGGAAGGGAGAGAGTGAACAAGTCTGGTTGGACACCTCCTGCCCCAGCTCTTGAATGCACAAACAGCAATGGCAGCTGTTATGCAAGGGCTCAGATTAACCTGGTCACAGGCACTTAGACCTCTTCAAATCTACTCACCCAGTCCCCTGACACGATTTCGGTTAAAAGCAAAATTTTCAGCAAAAGCCCAGCAGGGGCCCCTTACTCTGAATATCGGTCATAGAAAGGAGATCTCAGCAGGTAGTACAGAAGTAGGATGGTTCGTCGCCTCAGCTCTGCTCGCTCTCGCCTGTTCAGGTCTTTCAGATCACTCAGCAAGCTCAGACTGGAAGGAGAAGGGCAGAGACCTAACTCACAGCAACAGCAGCCAGTAGGGAAAAGAAAGGGGGGTTCTAAATGCCCTCTGTTCTCATCTCCACACACAGCAGGCTGCACCAGCTCAGAACAGAGAGCACTGTAAGTGTTGCAGAAGATACCTACATGTATCAATCTCCCATCTAAAGACCAGCCCCTGTGAGTATTTCTCTCAGTAGGGCCTGCCCAGGATTGGGGAACAGGGGGAAGCACAATGCTCAGCCACCACCAACCTCAAGCACCTGCAAAGACTCTTCCTCAGACTGACCTCGAGATGTCCAGGACTGCTGAGAGGAGCCAGGGTTTCCACGATCTCTGGCCCCACACTCCTAAACTCAATACTAGGAACACATAGTCAAGGAACGGAAAGAACCAGCGATGCCTTAACAAGAGGCATGCAGACAGGCGACCCCCGGGTACCAGCAAAGCTCTGCTGAGTGCAGGAGAATACACTCGAAGGCAGTGCTGGGGAGGGGCGGGCAGAGAAGGGAGGAGTGCCGAGGCCCCTGCCCAAGCAGAGCAGCAGCCGGGAGAGAGAAGCCTGACGTGGCACTGCCCCGCACCAGGGCCGAGCCCGCAGCACCCTCTGCCGGCACCCAGGGTATGGCGTGAGCCCGCACGCAGCCGAGGCAGGATACGGTGGAGCAGAGGGCGGGTAATGTAGAGGGATTCTGCGATGGTTTCTTGGAGACCCAGAGGGGTGGGAGGCTGGTTCATCTCCTCCACTCTTCGGCTCTGTGACTCCTCCCTCTGCTGGGGGGACCCCCAGTGCCGGGACTGCAGGGATGGGGCTGAAACAAGTAGATCGGGTCAGTAGCACAAATAAAACCTTCTTACCGCACTTCCCTGCACCACCACCCCGCTGCTTTCTGTGCTGTGAAGGTGTGAAATGGGAAGTTTGAAGAGTTGCGCGCGCAGCAACTGCTGGGGCTGACCAGCACCCTCAGAGTTTACCTCCAGAGGGGACAGAGCAAGCAGAGGTACTTGTCAGGTCAGTGCTCCTCAAAGCATAACTACGCTGAAGGGTTGTCTCCATCACAGCTCACTTGGGAAAACACAGTTTAAGCACTAGCCTTGCAGCACATGCCTGAATCCCCAGTGCTTTGATATCCGCCCCCACCCACACTGCCCAGCAACTGGCAAGATATGGCCCTACACAAGGTGCTGCTCTTTACTGTCCGCACCCTGGTCATACATAAAGGGCACAGAGCAGAAACAGCTCAGGCAAGGACAGAAAACAGGCTCAGCTACTTACTGCTCTGGAGAGAGCGAACAACACGGCTGGATCGCCTGCCGACATAGGTCTGATCCTTTCCTGAGGAGTTGTCTTCCATGCCTGCAGCATAAAACAGTCACAGGGGTCAGGGTCCAAAGGGACATGCCTCACTCCAAAGCTGGCAGCACCCTTCCCTGCACTGCCATCAAGAAGACCAGATTGAAAGTTTGATCTAGTGCAAACCAGACACCATCCTGAAGGGGCTAACACTTTGCAGGGGGTGAAAAGATAAATCTACCTGACATTGCCCAGGCCTAGGATCAGTTCCCTCACCACTAGACCAGGAGACATGCAGCTTGACTCACAGTTCAGCCAGTGGTTCTAGGCTTTGTTTCCTCCGCACCCTCCTTCCACGCTGCCGGACAACCCTGCCACTAAGCTAACTTGTGCTCTGCAGAGGGTGGAAATTTCAACATAGCTCAGCTTTGCATACTGAAGCCTTACAATTCCCTGTGCCACCCGAGCTGCTGTTCTGATGAGTAATTCCTAGCAGGACAAGACATGTGGCCCAGCGAGGTGCCAAGTCAATGATGATAGCACCGTGGGCTCACCTTGGGGGTGGAGAGGCTGCTGCTGCTCCCTGTTCAGCGGCACGATGGGAGGAGATGTCTGGATGCCAGCTTTGTACCACAGCAGGAGCAGGAGACGAAGGATGGCTCTGTGAGTAGACACATGGAAGCCTTCAATACCAGGCTATAGAGCTGGGTTCCTGTTGCGCTGGAAAGGTGGCTTCCACAGAAGAGGGAAACACTCAGGTCTGCTCAGGGCAACTGGCAAGGCGAGAGGCATAAGTGTGCCCTCCTGTGGCACAGTATCCAGCACACCATGGGGCTCCAAATTCCCCAGCCTCAGGGACTGGCAGCTCAGTCCCGCTTGGGCTTTTTCCTGGGGTACTGCCAAGTCCCCTCCAGATCCCCTTTCCGAGCACACGCTGCCCCTTCCCCTCTGCCCACGGCACTTACTTAGCCAGCTGGATGAGGACAATGATGGTCCACCGGCCCATCTCCCCCCACACCCTGGCTGTCCCCATCTCTGCAAAGACCTCCACGCATTCTAGCACACTCAGCCAGGTCAGCAGCTTCTGCTGGGGCAGCGACTGCAAAACACAGAGGGGAGGAGTGGGACAGGATGCAGGTTCTGCTGGTGAGTTAAACGGGGCAGAAATGCAGCTCAGTTTGGTGGGACCTCAGAAATGAGAACTGGACAGCCTTGGAAATCACAGCCCCAGAAACAAAAAGTGGGGCCTCCACAGGGGCCAGAGTCTACACACAAGCCCACTTCTCTACCTCCAAGCAGGGTCAGACTGAGACACCACAGTATCACACAGAGCTGCTACCCCAGAAACAGGGAGAACATCACAGCTGTATCTTGGATTGCCTTCTACCCCAACTGACACAGCAGGACAGTCTCCTGGGTTGTGGCACTGCACCTGAACTCCACATCAAAACTCTCTCCTCCTCCTTGTCCCAAAGTTGGGATACACGACGAACCTCCTCCCTGGTTAGAGCTTACAAGGGAGTATGCCTGGAGTAGATGGAAGGGGAACCAGAGTCCACAGTCACACCAGAGCAAATGACTCCTGAATACAACATGGGTCTAGGTTCCAGCCATGAAACCCAAGACTGGGTCCCTGCTCCCCACACGGGAACTTGATGGTGCTGTCAGCCACAGGATTTAACCCATTGAAAGCATCAATAAAGACAATACCCCTGAAATTCCCTTTGGCCTTTAACAACTAGGAAAGCAAGTCCTCTGCATTTCTGTTTGTTAAACGCCTGATGCTCCAGCCAGAGAGCTGCCTACACCCAAACCCTCACAGCAGGCAGGCTTGCAACAGAAGAGGCCTGTCTGGAAAGTAACACCGCCCTCCTCATTCCCCAAAGGGTCTAACAAGTGCTGAGAGCCAATGGAAGGCTCTTGCAAGAGAGACATAGAAGCAAGGTGGTTACATTTGTTTCGCTCAATAGCACGTGCAAAGGAAAAGTCTGAGGGATAGAATCAGAGCCTCGGTGCTCCAGAGCCACTGCTCTGGAAACAGCGATGGTTATTCAGCAACACCTTTGCCTAGCTCGAGTTCCAAGCTTCTCAAAAAAAACAGTGGAGCTCCTGGTGCAAGTCAGGGCTTGATCTCTGTGGACCAGGGAATGCTCTGGTCACTCCAAGCCAGGAGCTACAGGGCAGGGCTACCTGCATTCAGAGGTGGCCTCTGAGCTTGATATATCTGACAGCAAAGGGAGGCCACAACAAGAACCTAGTAGTTTCTACAGACACTCCCTGAAAGCTTTTTGCAAGGACAAAAGCACGTGTCCCAAATCCTCCTCCCACACACTCCAGCAGCCTTACCACGGGCAGGCTCCGCTGCAGCTCCTTTCGGAGAATCCAATCATTTAATAACACTAGGAGGTTGGAGGCAGAGTACACTAGAAAACGAAGAAAACACCACCACAGTTACGGGATGCATAGAAAGCAAACCAAACCGGGATCGCTGCCCCTTCCCCCAGGAGATGAGGGAAGGGTAGGAAGACGTGCAGATTCCTCCCACAGGCTGTCGGAAACGCAGCCAGGCGCGAAGAAAACAAGGGGTCCGGGGAGTGGCCCCGCATACACCCGTGCAACGGCACACGACCAGCTCTACAGCCGGCGAGCGCCGGACTGCCCCG